TATTTTGGCACCCATACTAACAGATTGGAGCAGCCACACTAACAGCGTCACACATACGTATCAGCTGCGGATATAGCGACGATTCACAGAGAGTCGAGGTCTCGCCTATTTTTTTTTCAGGAGCCTTGGATGGTTCCCAGAAAAAAATAGACAGTGAAAAGGGTATGTTCATAGTCACATCGACCAGCAACAAAAACACCTTTCATTACAGTGTCAACGTATGTATGTGAAGAATACGTCACAGACATGATAAAACATTTAAATGTATTTTTTAAACTCATCACCTCCTGTATCTGAGATTAAAATCTCTCTGCCGTTTCTGTAGATAGAATTCATTCATATGTTAATGGGGCTTTTATTGTACTGTACGTATCAAAGGCAAACTCAGGATAGAAAGATAAGGGCTGGCAGCAGCAGAAACGCAGCACAGAACGCTCTCCGTGTGATCACCTCACGCGTGCAAGCCGCAGCAGTGTGTACCTGCAGTGTGAACAGGGTGTTACCCTGTTCTCCCTCTCTCTGTCAGCAGTATGATTTATAGTATTCCAACAAGCACATCTCGCGTTTTGGATTTTTCAGTCGAAATTCCGTTTTCACAGCAGGTGAGCTGCCGTGTGGAGGAGGCTTGTTGTGAATGACGTTGCCTATAGAAACGGTCCAAACCAAAATGGTACAGAGCGGTTTACCTGGTCCGTGCTTGTAAAAGATCCACCGTGTGATACCAGATAGAGCTCTGTGTTTGCCAGAAAAATGTTAAAGTTGGTTGCCGAACATTAATATACCTGGGTGGACCAGGTTTTCAACGTGTATTTAAAAAAAAACAAAAAACAAAGCATTTGAATATTGATATGGATGCTGATTACCATGACAACAGTTGAAGCTTAAAAACATTCAGGCCAGTCCTAGATTGTTGTCTGAGGTGCTTCATGAGGCATAGACATATCTCTCCAGTGTTTACTACCTACTGGTGTAAGTGGTCATGCCCTTGTTATAACGGCAAGTGGCAAACAGTTGTTGGTGCATTACCTTTACTGTCTTGATTGGAGTGTGTCATGGCCAACCCACATTTGCATCTAGCATGAATGATGTGTTAGATGATTTCTTATCTGACTAATGGAGACACATGTGGCTAGGTCTAAATAAGTATGTACTTTAGATTGTATCTCTGGATCTGCGATAAATGGAGTGACAAGTAAATATCAGCTAGATCAAAAGATTAATTAAATAAACCAAAAGATGAGTTTTTGGATGCTTGGCCTATAGCAGGTTCTAAAGCCTTATATTACTCTCTTGAAATTGATTTTAAATAGAGGGTGTTTGTTGACAGCTCATAATAACCCCCAGATGTAACTCCCATCTTACCTGTCAAAGAGAAAATGTTAAGTCCTTGGGCGTGTATATTTCTCCTGCTTCATTATTTACTTGTGAAGTGCATTTAGTTTTCTCGCCCTTAGGTTATTTCTTGGCTATGTTATTAATTTTAATCTCCTCTGCTACAAGCTATGGTTAAAATATTCTATTTTTTCTTCACATAACTGTAGCCCTTCCTGATGGCCAGAATACAGCTGTAGACAAATTGGTTTCACAGCCCTAAAACTGTACATCAAGTTGGTCCAAATGAAACATTATGACTCCAATTTTAAACTAGGGCATTACTTTAAAAAAAGGAGTCTGCTCCATCTATTCAATATTCCCAAGTTTGATTAAGAATACTGGCTTTTCTTCTACAGTTTTGTTCTATTTGTCCTCAACAGGCTGTGGCCCAGCTCCAGTTATTGTTATGCTGTCAATAAGTTGCTTATTATTGATACTATTAAGACTAAACACACTTCATTCATCCATATCAGCCTCTTTTTCTCAGCTTCTACTGGTTTCATTGCTGAATCGATTTTAAAGTTTCAGTGATTACTTGGCTCAGTGGTGTCTGGCTGCTTATTGCTCATCTCTTTATAAACCAGAGTGCAGCTGTAATTCTATAAAGTGTGGCCTGCAAGTTTCTCTTGCTTGAAATTGAGGTATAAATAAAATTATCCTTAAAACACTCCTACAAACCAGCCACCGTACTAGAGAGCCCTCAGTAGCTGTCATGTTTCTTGTGCAGCTGCAATGGAGTGTGGTAGTGGAATACAGTGTTTATCAATCATAGTAGATGGCAGTCCATCAGACATAAAGAAGAGTACTTTATAAACATGCTGTTTAAAACCAGTGTTCCACAGCCATACAGGGGAAACTTCATCACAGGGAAAAACCTTATAAGGGATTTTTCTCTACTTTCAGCAAAACAAAGCAACAAAACTGTTTTATGTTGGGATGCTTTTTGCCATGTTGCAACTAATTTTCCTTTTGTCTTCATGCTTTCTTGCTTTCATGAGTGTTATAGTTATTGCTATCTTTTTTATTGCTATATCCATCAAAGCAATAACCCAGATGCAACATGTCCTGGTGAGTTGGATGTCAAAAGGCTTATTCTCATAAAGTTACCTAGCTTATTGTCATAAAGTTACCTAAAGATATATAGTCACTCTTTCATCTCACAACAAGTTGTCAATGCTCTCTGTTTCATGAAGTAACTTTGCTCAGAGCAGCAGCATGCTTAAGCAGATGTCATTACATACAACACTGCCACTAGGGGCAGCAGTCAGGGATGGGGGTTGTTTAGCCAACACTGTATTTCATCCACATGGCTTTGTTACTCCGACCAAAATTACAAAGATAAAACATATCTTTCCTTGGTTAGTTAGTGGTACATAGCCCTTCAGAAAGTATCACTTTATGTTGCTTCTCTTTTCAGTAGCCTTTGGCAGTTGGTACAAACTTATGTCTTAATTTATACATCCTCTATCCCTGGAGTCAATTTCATATATATATATATATATATGAACGAGACACATCCATCGTGTTGCAGGTTTAGTACTAACCTGCATAAGTCTTATAAATTTGCACTACAATTTAATATGTAATAAAATGTAATTAAATAAAACATGCAATAACAAAATAGATATTTTTACAAAGCAAACAAATAATACTTTGTTGTCCTTGTGATTTTAATCAAACTGACAGTTACTGCTTGAACACATGACCAGGTGTCTTTATGCTTTTAGGCTTTTAGTATGGTGTTGCATCCCCAGTGTCAAGCTGACAGTTAAATGATATGTTTTTGTTTTGAGCATTTGTTGGAACTACAACCAGCCATTTACTAGCACTCATGAAACACACGTTAATAATTATCACATCTAAGGCATTTACTGTGCTTAGTATTCAGTAATGTTGTTTTGTGTTGACTTGTTGACCAGTGCTCTTTGTGACCTAAAGGCACACATCAGCCTCAGCTACACATAATACATCCTAGAGTAAGACTTGTCAAATAATCATATAATCAAGCTAATATTAACATTAAGCTCAAAGGACATACACTATGCAGCTTTGACTGATGAGAACTGAGCCTGGTGTCAGGTGGTCTAACATGATCTCACTTTGACATGCCAGTTTGGTTTACAATGCACAAATACATAGATCCCTGGGGATTTTAACATGTGTATGCTTAAACATTACCATCTGATTTGATTTCATGACCACATTGGAAAAACAACGTCAAAGGACTGCAGTGAGATGAGAATTTAAGGGATATTATAAAAGTGTGCTTCACTGTATGCCTCATAAGTAAAGCAATAATCTCATTGCTTTACTTGCAGCACAGGAGATCACCTCTCTTAGAGATGAAATATGTGTCTTCACATTGATTTTTGTAGTAGATTAGCATAAAATAAGCACCCAGTAGTATAAAATGTTATTTATTTTAATAGAATTTCCATCTGCCCATCCCTTTTTAAACAAGTATTTTAAGAGTTAATGAACACAGTATCAGAGCAGACCTTGACTGTGAAATTAATTAGACAACATAAAATCCTTATGAGGCATAAAACTCCATTTTGCACATAAATATTGGGTATTGCTTGTCTGAAAGCTGGAAAATGGGTTACTTAAGGCAACAAATTAATAATGTCACCATTTTTTTTTAGATGCACCGGTGACAATATAACCTCAGGACTTGGACAGAGAGCTTGCACTTATTGAGATGCCAAATGAGTAAACAAATTAACTTTGTTACACTTGATGATGAATTGCTAATCTGATTATTTTCAAGGGTACTCTTATACACTCTGAAAAGCAGTAACACTCGTTTGGTTTAGTTACATCAAAAACATGTTTACTGAATATTAAATCTGCTCTTTAGATTGTAATATGTTCAAAACCCACAGCCATTAAAAGCATTACTATTGTGCCATAGCATAATGTACAAGGAACGAATAAAATACAGAAAAAATATGTATAGCTGAACATGTCAATACATTTAATGACAAACTTCCTTTGTTGGCATAAAGTAGCACATACTGTAGGACTGGCTTGTTTTTCTGATTCAGTGTGTTAACATGCCCACTTCTAATTCGACTGTACTAATTCAACTGTTACCAGATTAAGGAAATACTACAGTTATTATTACTGATAGACACAGTAAAATTGAAGCCCAATTGACAAAATTACTTGTTTGTGAGAAGTAATGGCGATAGAGGCTACTGTTTGAAATTTTGGACATGGCGTCTTCCAGAGAGCAGTGCCAAAGTGTGCAGAGAAAACTTCAAAACAGAATTTAATGATGATGTTGGAAAATGGTTAAAGGCCACTGCTCAATGACACACAACTCCTCTATCTCTATCCTACAAACTGATTCTAGTTTCAGAGAACTGCTATCCAAAAAAAAAAAATGTTCTGCAAAATTACAACTCTCAATATTATAATATATGACTATATTCTCTATCTATTAATTTTTCTATCTGAAAGTGTCCCCCATACTTGTCAATTGCTTGTGCTGGGACAAAAGAAAACAGTGTTCAACTTGGCATATCAGGTAACAGTAATAGTTCTTATAGTGTGTTATTGTGCTTTGTACATCCATCAAAGCAAAAGACAGCAAACTGGAATAAACATCCTAACAACAAGATATTTCCCTTATTTTGTGCTGATAGAAAGATTATACCTGCGAGCTCATCTACACGTCCTTCCAGACAGTAACCGACCTATCATGTAAACGTAGTTTATTGGGAAAATCTTTCTACTGTGATCCATGTGCTTTATTCAAACTATTATCTTAATTTGGTTACAGACAGTAATGGGGTTGCATGTTAACATACTGATTCAGAATTGCCAATACAAATTTACAGAAATTTGAATATTTGAAATTCAACATTTGAAAGATTCAGTCCCTGAAGTAAAAAAAAAATGTTTAGGGTATAGTGTCAAGATGCGATTGCTGCTGTGCAATTTCTATCGCTCATAAACTGAGTACATATTTGAAGCGAGGATAGTATGCATCCCAACTGCAGTTTGTAAGCTTACATGGCCTCCTTTTGATGTTCACATGATTTTCATGTTGAATTGTATGGGTGCCTCAGTTGGACTGGCCTCCTCTGTGTCCTCTTTACGTGGCACATATTCAACCTCTATACTTGACTTGGTATTGTTTTTCCCTCTACTCCAGAGAAATAATATTACAAGACAGAAGAGGACAACTCCGAGGAAAGAGATAAATCCCATGGTTGTTGCAATGATAAGTGTCTTTACATCAAACGGAAATGGAACTGTGGCCCGGGTCACATTAGCACCTTCATCGCTGGGTTGGTTGGAAATGAAGGCAAATGTCTTGTTTGGCTGATGGGGCCAATTGGGGGAGTAGCTATGCACAAAAAGGTGAGCAGCTTTGGTGTCATTGCCAGCTGCATTGCTTGCAATACACAAGTAGGTGCCATTATCCTGGATTTGGGAATAACGCACCTCCAATGTGCCCTCATTAGACACAGAAAGTCTTGACCCCACAGTTTTGGTAGTGATGTATTCCTTCTTTGGGGATAGCCACATTATTACAGGAACTGGATCACCCTCAGCTTGGCATGCAAAATGAACCGTAGTTCCTTCATCTACATGGCTTTCTTGAACCTTATAATCCAGGATCTTTGATTTCTGGCAGATGAAATAGTCAGAAGGGAGGATGTCTGGGAAGTCCTTGAACTCTTTTCCTTGCACAACCTCAGGTGAAGCACACATGGGCTGTTGTCTGTTAAAGTTGAGCCTCCATCGCCGGCGGAAGACCCAGAGCAAGCGACAGTCGCAGGCCAATGGGTTGTCATACAAAGCCAGGGTCTCCAGGTTTCCCACCGAGTGGAAGACGGACTCCTCCAGGGTGCTCAACATATTGCTAGATACATTGAGTACACGGAGGTGGTTAAGTCCTCGGAAAGAGTAGGGCTCAATGGCACCTAATCTCCCACCAGCCAAATGAAATGCCTGGAGCTTCTGTAGATTGTACAGTTGGTTCCCTTCCACTGTATGAATGGGATTGAAAGACAGATTCAAAAACCGAAGATATCTTAGGTGACTGATGGCTTGGTAGGGGATGACAGTAAGATTACAGTTTGTGATCGACAATGATGTGAGGTTGAGTCCAAGCAAGCATTTTGGGGTCATGGTATCCAGGGCTGGCATATGAGAAATTTCCAGCATTCTGAGCCGATAGAGCCTCTTAAAGGAATAATCCCTTATGACACTGACATTTAGATAGCGTAATCGAAGTGACAACAGGTTATGCAAATGGCTAAGGGCATCAGTGGGCACTGAGGCCAGATTGCATCCCTCAATGTTGAGACTTTCAAGGTTGCTGAGGCCATGAAAAGATCGTGGTGAGATGAATACTAGGTCATTGTCACCAACCTCCAGAGCCCTCAGGTTGTAAAGCTCCTGGAACATATAGTCGAGCAGAATGACAATTTTGTTCTCACTGATATCCAGCTGGGTGAGGTTGGTCATGCCTGTGAACACCCCCAGCTGAATTAGCTTCAGCTGGTTGTTGCGCAAACCTAGAATTCGAAGGTTCATAAGGTTACTAAAAGCCCCAGGCTCAATGGATGAAATTGTGTTTTCGTTAAGTTGCAGCTCTTCTAGCTGAGGGTAATTAATGAACTCCTCGGGCCCCAGCGTTTTCAGACGGTTCTTGCTAAGGTCTAGCAGCCTTGTTTCAGTGGGAATGCCCTCAGGAAGAGCTGACAGTCTTCGTCGATGGCACACGACTGAACGCTCCTGACCATTGCAGTCACATCGGGAGGGGCAACCGGTCGTGGAGCCAGAAAGGACGGTGCCCAGCATCAGGATCAGGATGGGCTGCCAGCACGCCACCAAGTAGCTGTGCCCTCCTGCCTCCCCTGACACCATCCTACTTCTTACCTGTGGAGACATAGAAAAAGAAAGGTTGGAGTGGAATGGTGGTAGAGAAATGGCTATTACAATTTTGAACAATGCCGTATAACACTCATAGCAGATAAAAATATTGAAAGAAAAGGAGTTATGAAAAATCTGTCTACATAATTAGTTTCTAAGAGACCAAATCAGGATTCCATTCAGCCCTTTATCACATTATGATTTTTAATGAATGTGTGAATAACTATACAATGTCATTCATTCCAACACACAAAATGAGACATATTTCAGGGAGGAAAAGCAATGTCATTTTACAGTTTCCATTTGTAGACAGATGTGGATAAATAGCTATCCAGATGTATAAAAATAATATACTGTATCTTCTGTATTTAATAGTTTTCCTGAAATACTTTCCTTACACATAAAAATATAATATTGAAATATTTTCCTGTGCTTTGTACACCTTAGACTATATTCTACAGCTAGGGTCTTCAATGTTTGTCAGGCCAAGGGACCCCTTAGCTGAAGGAGAGATGGAACAGGGACCCTATACATATATTATATTAAATTGTGTTGTATATTAAAATGGGTGTACAATAACGTGTACAGTGGCATATAGTGCCATGTGTAAACATACCTTGTTGTCATGCATGTAATAATAATATTAAAATAAAAATTATTAACTGGTTCATATATATTTATATTTTAATCTAAAAAAAAAAACATACTGTACATGTGGAATTTGTCTTTCTGTTGGATTGCAGGATTCATGTTAGTTGTGATTCTTGTTATTTTGTTTTCAGATATTTAAATTTTTTTTTAAAAATAAGAATGTTCAAAATATTGAACAATAATTTGGCGGCACCCCTGCAGTGACTCTGAGGGGGGCCGCCATAACAGCTGAACCATTGTTTGGAAATTCACAAAGCAAATTTCATAATGTTTAACCATTATTTGATACTAATGAGTTCCACAGAGTTACAGGCATATTAGTTGTTTTCAAAACAAAACATACAGTATGAGCTTTTTTGCATATAAAGCCAAATGAAAATTATAACTATATAATAGCCAGTAGAAATGACAATTTTGCTTTTACCTGCATACTTTTGCATAGATATAAGCTGCCTTCCCCCTTTCCTTGCATGCAATTTCATTGCGGTGGATTTCCTCACAAGTAATGAAATCAGCCAATCAATAAAAGGGCCCAGTCACACAATATAACCACCCCGCTGTGCTTCTGACTTCTTATTGTGTTGAAAACAATTACTGCCAATATCAGTGACATATTGTCTCCGCTCATAGAAACTATTTTTAATTAGCAGCCAAAAACGCCACGGTACATCTTGAAATTACTTGTCCAAGTATTTGGAAACTTAACACATCCCATGTCATTGCTGAGCTGTTGACCTTGCAGTGATATAAAACAGAGATTGCTGCCAAGTGGTGATAAATGGAGAGAGGGGGATTGTCAGAGGACTTTAAACCCCTATTTGATTTTGACTCAAGGGAACTTTAACTTGCTAAAACCTTCAAGCTCTACTTCTCACATCTATCATGCAATTTAAGTCTCAGCGTTATCTGTGGACCATCACTCTTACAAGGGCCTCAAGTAAGAGAAATGACACTGTGATTTGTTTTCATTGAGACGACTGGCCTTACCTGTGCTTTGTTGACACAGTGACAATTTGGACTTAATTAATGTTTTACTTTGGAACTTTAATCTGACCAAAAAAGCATCTAAAGGCCTGAAGTTGTAAAAAACGACAACGAAACATTAGCATGAACATTGTCATAATATGTGGGAGCTGAATAGGCATATTCTTTCTGTAACTCATTCACCACAGAAGTGTTTTTTTTAAGTGTGCTTCAAATTATTGGTGTAGTGCTTTTTAGAAGCTCTTTGGCTGTCTACCACACTGTTGTAGCTTTAAAAAAATATTAAACTTGATAGTGAAGATTAGAATGATTTTTTATTGCACTAACACAAATTACACATCACTCTTAAGTGAATTAAAGTCATGGGACTGAGGCAGCCTGGATTGTGGTCTGAGTAGTTCCAATGGAACGGTAATTGCAGCTTTCATTTTCACTTCTTCCCAACTGTTAATTTCTGTTGGCTGCATATGTCAGACATGTTGGGTATCCGTCCAGTGTGTATGTGGCATTGTAAAAAGCAGACTGTCAAAATGAAAGCTAAAGTGTCTATCGGTAGCTCCTTTGTGACCTCCCACTCCATTCTGTCTCTCACTAATTACATGAATTTACAAATGGAGAGCATGTAGGCTTTTCCAATGGGATGGTCACATATTTTCTAAAACAGACAAACTGGAGCTCAGTGTACTTTTAAAGACGAAAATCTCATACATAGTGTAAGCACACGTTTAATTGTGATCCATTGTGGCAGATGCTAAACCTTCGAGTGGAATGAAATATTACTAAGATACTCAATGCAGAAAACGGTTGACATGTTTATCTGTTTGACACAGAATGCGATTATATCTTGTCAAGTCAGGAATATGAATTAGGATGAGGCTCACTGATGTCACTGCTAATCGAAAACAAGCCAATGCAAATGCAATGGTGATTTTCTTAACAGAGTACCATGCATGATTTATGATTCAGAGTGTAGTAAGGGCAGGTGTACTATCTGTGTAATCTGGCCTTACAGCCTAGACCTACTCACTGTATCACCACTTTGTTTTGACCTTGAGCTAATATTCTGAAAAAGAAAAAGAAGTTGGCAAATAACCTCTCAATTACAATAGCCCAGTACTTCATATACACTGTTCTTAGTCTTTAGATTCAATTTTAGCCCTTGATCCATCGCTCCACGCTCTCTTTCTCCCCACTCTGATTCTTTCTATTCTTCTTTTGATAGTATTTTGCAGGGGAAGACTGTGAGTGAACAAGCCTTTTTATCTCCTGCCCTTCTATGACTTTTGCATTTTCTCCATGGACCTCTCACCCTGTCATAGTTTTCTCTCAAAGGCATGTCTCAGCTCACCATTAGTCTCTCGTTGCCTTGAATCCCTGCCTCCCCTCTCTTATGGTGCCGTGTGGTTTGATACAGAGCAAACCGTAGAGAGGTGTGCACTGCTAATGGGTCACTGAATGTCTGCAAGCAGCATGCAGACAAATAAGCTACATGCATCAGTGCATACAAGCCCTTCGGCTGTTTTTATTTATTGTTAAGTACCTTTGTTGTGCAACATAACGTTGGAAGAACTATTGGCATATTTTCAATAAAAGGGGGACTGGGCTGTTTTGAAAAGAAAGATTATTGAACCCTTTCTATATGCAGTACAGAAAACAGAGAAAATAACGTAAATATTTTATGAAAAATGACAAATCCAAATCATAGTTGCAGATACAAAGCTTTGTCATTAGTTGCAAACCAATTAACATTATTTGTCTCTTCCCTATAAACTGCACATTGTACTTATCTATCATATCCCTGTTGGATAGTTTCAACTTGTGACCATTTTCATGAGTCATCGATGCAGCCTGAGTTCTGAGAGTATTCCCTTAATAAATGCAATAATTTAGCTTTTTGCTTTGATTGGTGTGCATGCAGTTTGGACACAGATGATTTGTCTATTTTTTTCTTCCTCATTGTTGACAAATGCTGCTTATTCGGATTCAATAATATGACCCAGCTTTGTAGCAGTGTTTGTAATTGTGATTAAACGCATCACAGTTAAAGCCCTTTTTTATGAAGGTCTTTTTGTCATTTTGTCTCACCCCTATATTCACATATTATGTGAGCAATACATCTTGTAAAAAGGTGAGGTTTTGGTGGAGAAAGTTTGTTACTTCTATTTTGTTTTTAGTTTACAGTTTGTATTACAAAATCTACTCAAGAGAGTCAGATATTTACAATCCATTATTTCTCTCGTACACCTAACATGTAATGTTAGTAATGCCTTTTGTTTCTGTTTATGACTCACTAGACTACTTCTGCATTGTAGATGATTATACAGTGGGTCATTAGAACCCCTATTATATATAGCTTTTTGTTAAGTGGCAAATGTATCCCCAATGTTCAGAGAATTGTGAGGATGAAACAAAAAGGATGCTGCAGCTGCAGTGACAGAGTAAATGTTTATAGGGTTTAAGAGCTAAAGAGTGCTTCCACTGGTATGTTTGTGTTCAACTGACAAATTTAAAGCAAACAGTTAAGTCAAAAAGCTAACAAACAAGAAGACCTTGTGGGCTGCATAGAAGTGACAATGTTTGTGGGGGATTACACAGGACAAGTCTTGCAGAATGTCTAGAGGCTTTTTGAGGTGACTGAACTGAAGCTACAGTATGTGATATCTACACAGCAAACATTTTCCAACCTTTTTTTTGGTGTGCTTCTTTAATTATCAACACAAAAGGGTCCATCTTGTGTCAGTTAATTTTCTTAATACATCAAAATTAGGTGTTCTAACTTCAAATCCATTGCATCATCATTGGCATTGAAATATTTAGAGGAAAAGCCAAATATCTAGCATATACAGATGTAGGCACAGCTTAATATACCAACAGTAATGCTATTACAAATGTACAATGACTTGAACTAATATTTATATTACTCTAATGATTTGCTGCAGTACAGTTCTGAAGTGTCTATGTTTGCCCAGCAAGGCTTGCCAGATAATCTACATCCTGTAATGAGCAGTCAGATATGAGAAATCGCATGAAAACTAATCCACAATTGAAGTCTATAATAAAGGTAACAACCCATCCAAGCCTAAAGAGAAATTGCATGGCCTGCTGTTCCACCATGCAAGGATCAAATGCTTAGAGAAAGACAAAATGGTTCAATATATGGGAACTACTCCCGTTGAGATGCAGAAACGCACCTGCATGGGGTCAGGAAACCTCTCAGTTTTTCTCTTTTTGACAGCAGTATCCTCAAGCTATCAGGGCTCTCAGCCAGAAAAGCATGCACTTTTGCCTCAAGAAGATACCCATACTCATTTGGAAGTAGATAGTGTCAGGCAAGTTTAGGGGAGTCCAGATAATTATAGTGATCACTGTGGAGGACAAGCAAA